AAGTCCTGAGGAGGTCATTATTGAATTGGGGGGGCATCTTCTGCAGATGAGTAAATTTTTAATGAACACTGAACAATAGGCAAATTGCTTGTCCATTTATATCCACAACTAATTTTTTTTGAGTATTTTTCTTGAAAGCTTTTTCTACAATATTTTTTAGCAGATGAAAAAAACCCAACCCTAGGGAATGTCTTTGAAAAAACAATATTAAATATATTTACAAGGTTCATTGTGCATTACTGTTAGCGATGTAGTTGCACAGCTTGACAACAGAGGGAAGAATTGCACAACAGCAACAGTCGTTTCACACTGCTTTTTATGTAGAGACAGCTGGTTAATTTTGTTTCAGGCATTCAGTTTGAGTATTTTTATTTCCCTTGTAATCTTAACATGAAAAACAATCTCTTTTTGTTGTCCTCCAATTTTCCAATCCTGGAAGCAGATAAAATTTGGTACCTTCATTGTAATTAGAATATATATTTGTGTTCCCCAATAAAAATTTGTTATCCCTGTTAGCAGCTTGAATTATCTTTTGAGTTTTCCTCTAAATTTGTTCACATACAAAATTAATATTAAAAAAATTTTTTTTGTTAGGCAAAGTCCTGTCTTTAATATCAATCAGAGAGGAAAGATTACTTTGTTTAGTTAGGGATATGGTATCTCCTTCAGCCTCCAAGCAGCTAATTCAAAGTCCTTAATGAGTTAACTGATGTGTACTGTAAAATAAATTAAAAAGTAGCCCTTCTCATTAAACACAGTAATTAAATACTCATGCTTTTGTGATTGCATTCCTTTTTCTAGGTGTCTGGAATCAATCATGGCTGTAAAAACTTGGTTTAGTTCTTGGTTGTCAAGAATCATGGAATCCCTTACTTGTTTTATCCTAAAGTGTTCTGGAAATGTGTACCAAAACATTTTGTTTTAGGTTCAAAAGTATCCTTTTCCCATATGAAGTGTAGGGGTGAAAAGCATACTAAGATGAGAGCTTTGTTCACACAGAACACTGAGGATAAATTGTTTCTTTTTTCAAGATACATACCTACTGCCATTTTAAGAATGTGTTTATTGTGCAGGATGGTTTCTTTGATCTAGTATAGCTCTAGTTAGGATTTTTGAAGCTGATAATGTTTCAAAATAATAATGATATTAAAAACCCAAACTCCTTTTTATAATCTGCCATTTTATCCTTAAGTGAATTTTTAGGGAGGATGTCCTCTTTCATGAGTGCTTTACTAGATACTTAGAATATACATTTTAGTCCAGTTCCGTAGGTTATTCCAAGCAGGTTGCCCAGGATCATGTCAGATGGCTTTTGAATATCTCTACAACTTCTCTGGGCAACCTGTTGAGTGCTCGGTCACCCTCACTCCGATGTTCAGATGGAATATCCTGTGTTTCAGGTCCTTTTTTTCAAAGCTGCTTTCTATATTTCTACCAGTATACTGGTGCATGGGGTTATTCCTCCCTGGGTGCAAGGACTTTGCACTTACCCCTGAACTTCATGAGGTTCCTGCCTGTTCAATTCTTCAGGGGTCGAGGTCTCTCTGGCAGCACAACCCTGTGGCGTATCAGCCACTCCTTCTGGTTTTGTATCATCAGCGAACTCGCTGAGGGAATGCTCTGTCCCGTCCGGATCACTAATGAGGATGTTGAACAGGATTGGAGCTGGTATTGTCCCCTGGAGTACACTAATAGTCTCTGGATTCCAACTAGACTTTGTGCCACTGACTGAATATAGATTACAAAAATGAATACTCTTATTGATAGTACTAAGAACATATTATTCTGTCATGTACATTTAATCTTATTGTGTAATAATAATAATAATAGAACTTGTGATATAAAGGCATGTCTTAAAATGGTTGCTGTTTTGTCATTTTTTACCTTGGTCCCTTTTAGAGACGGGGAATAGGAATTGATTTGCCTTAGACCCTACACTGAATCAGTGGTAGTCATAGCAGTAAATTGTAGGTGTTCCTACTTTTTAAAGCTGTGCTATATTAAGTTCGGTTTTTGTTAGACTGTTGCCTCACAAGTATATGATATAAAACACTGACTTTGATTTAATATTTATTGTTAATTAGGGAAGTGACTTGCTCCTTTATTTACAGACTTCTTCAGCACAAGCTGCTCGTTAACTTATCATTCACTTAATATTCCTCATGTCAGTGATAAGCTAATGTTCGGAACACAGATGTATTAGGTTGTCTCCATATGGTGCTTTGTCTAATGAATCAATTAGCTATTTTGGAAAAAAACCTTGTGAAGTTTTCTCTGTTGGTGAAAAGTCATCCTACAAATGGTGGAACAGTTTTTCATTGATATTTGTGTTTAAGCCTGTTTATAGGCAAAAACTTTGCAATAGTTTTGCTAGTATCTCATTTAAATTTTCTTTGCACTTAGGAGGAGCAGGGTTTTTTTAATTTGCTTTAAAGTTTGTATTTGGCAGATTTTGAAGAGTTATGAGTCAAACATTATCAAGCGATATACCTCTATTCTAGTAACTGTATCTTTGCCACTACTATGGCATGTAGTCTTTCAGCTTCTTCGAGAAGTTGGTTTTTTTCCAAATTGTTAACAGTTCATTTAATAGCATAATGTCCATTTCAAACACTTGCAAAGTAAACATTTGCACATGCAAATAGAATAACATATAAATGTTTACGGATTTGGCACTTGAGATTTCTGGAGTCACAGAAACTTCAATACTTTTAGTTGTCTTGCTTTTGAAGGACAAAAATAGAGTATCTAAAATCAGACCTGGTATTACAATCAGTGTTCACACATTGTATGTCAGTAGCCTATGGTTTTGGCTTGCTCAATATTAATGTAAAATAATTTTTCAACAAAGAAACTCTTTACTACTTGGAGTATCTTTTGACAGTGCAGATGTTTGGGGTTGTTAATAAAAAGAAAAAAAGACTTCATCTTTAAGGTGTGGGTACTTAAAACTTAACTTTAAAAATTGAAAGACAGAAACATTGAAGATGAAACTTTAAGATGATTTTGCATTAACTTCTGAGGATTATAAATTTACAGTTTAACTATCAGAATGTAGTGAAGTTTGTCAATCAAGTCTATCAAAGTTTTTATTTTACATGTTTTTCGCTGTGTTGTATGGGCTGCTTTAGTTAACATTACATATTTTTCTACATACTATATTGGTTATTATAGATTGTTTCACTTGTATTAGACTGATTAAAGAATAGTGTTAACAGCTAACGTGATACTGAACTCTCAGCTTAAAAACAAACAAAAAAACCCTGCACAACTCCTCCCACCCCATGCAACTTCCTGACTGAGATTCTTAGGGAGAAGCTGCACCTCTTCTAGAAGAGAAAAATAAAGCGCTATGATAGACCCTGTTAAGGTGACAGGGAAGAAGTGAGGATCATTTCATATTGACCAAATACAATCTCTTATTACGAAACTGAGCTGGTTGTCAGAACCAGTGTATCTAGGTACTAAATATAGCATATATGTAGCCATCCACAAGATATCATAAAAGTGTGTATTTTACTGTTGTCCTCTCAGATGGGAGTTATTTATACTTCCTATGCTGTTCAGTTCTCCATTCCCTATGAAACTGCCATACTTACTAATTTCTTCTGTTTGAAGTAGTTGAAATATATTTTGTACAAGCTGCCAGCTGGGTTAAGTTGCGTTATAACTAGTATAAATCATTTTTTTTTTTTAAAAAGGCATACATAAAACTTTGTATTGGAAAATCTTAACTCATCGTGTTACTGGAGATAACTCTTATTTCGATATCATTATTTTAAAGCTATTCTAGTCTTTCACATTTCTTTTTCCAGTAAGAGGATATTCTAACACCCATAAAAACAGTGTAAAATACTTTTCCTGGAAATGTTTTAGGGGACGTCAGACTTATCTCACTGTCTAAAATATGCCTGTTAACTTTAAATACTGCAGTAAACTTTGAGAACTCCTAAGTTTGAATCTCTTAATAGATGTAATTGGAACTAATTATTCAGCAATGAAAATCTTGCCAAATCTGACCTTTTTTTTTTTTTTTTTTTTTTTTTTTTTTTCCCTTTTGATAGCAGGAATATGTTGTCAGTTTTATCATCATTGCTGAATTTTTTGCTTAACTGACTCCCTTCTTTTTCCCCTTGTATTCCCTACTCCACCCGGGACCCACTTGTATTGCCTGCTATGGAAAGCTCCTGATCCTGGTTATGTGGCAGGGGTTGTCTGTGTCACCGTTACAGCTGTGTGTAGCTCTAAATAGGACTGGTGTTGCACAATGCATTTTTAACACTTAATATTAAATATCAAATTCTGTAATTGGCTAGTCATGCAAAAATTGCACGTACGTGAAAAGTGGCAACCAAAGTAATTTGGATTAGATGCTAGGTACTGTTACATATGGCCCCTTGGAAAGTCTGGCTTAAATAGATTCAATGATTTCTTATTGTTATGTTTAGAATATATTAGAAATAATCGCAGACCTGCACTTGAAGTGTTTCCCTAACAGAAGAAATATTTTGATAATGTTTAATGGCATGATAAAAATGAGGTCAAATAATGTAACTCTCAAGACTTGTAATATCTTTAATATTTGCATATCTAAAGCATTATTAGCACCAAACACCCTTTACGTGTTTACACGTGAAGGTGACATGGTGAGATCAGCACTGTAATTTTACCAGAGGCAGCTGTTTCTTTTAACAGTTATCTGTCCCTCTCACCTGAGCTTGAACAGCAAGCAGCCAAGAAACTGTAACAAGATTATGATCATGTGAGGAAAAAGACAGGGATAGAGAAAAGGGAGAGGCAGTGGTGAAAGCACATCCTGCAGAAGCTGTCATTTACGTCTGCCTTTAAAAAAAAAAAAAAAAAAAATCAGCAGGGATTTTAGCTGTGCGTTTATATTTAGAAAAGCAAGATTGTTTTAAGTCCAACTTGCTTAACATAGTGTTTCTAGTATTGCTGTGTTATCATGCTGCTGCTTTACACCTTTTTAATTTCTTTCTTAGAATCAATCTACCGACGTGGAGCCAGAAGATGGAGGAAGCTGTACCGAGTGAATGGGCATTTGTTTCAAGCCAAACGTTTTAACAGAGTGAGTACTATTGCATAAAATGTTGGATTTTGGTAATGTTCTGTGGTAATTGTTTTCTCAGTCTGTGCTTTTTCTGTATTTGAGTGTTGAGAAGAAAGGAAAAGCAAGATGCTTATTCATGTGAATTCTCGGTCTATGCAGTGTTATTCAGGTCAGAAAAACTTGAAAGTCTTTGAATGTGGGATGGAGTTAATAATATATGATTGGTGGAAATTGTTTTTAAAGCCTCTAAAAAACTGGTTTTGTGACTATTTAAACTGATGCAGCTTTTTTCCTCTCCATTCTATGTGATTTTGATTGCATGTTAGCATAATCTTTTACCTTCAGTACTTTTTGTTGTTCTGAAAGATTAGAGCTCTTGATGTTAGCTTTAACTGTTTTGAATCTGAGGTATTAGATAATCTAATTAAGAAAAAAAAAATCTGGTTTATTGAGCTAAAATACAACTGCGTTAAGAATCTGACTTAATCCACATGAGCAAGTGCATGTAGCTTTAAGGCTAAGACACCTCCTTCACTTATCTCATTATGCCTAAGTATTGCAGCATATATACAAATGTAGTATACACTTTTGGGAATTCTGTACAAAACAGTGAGGTGAGTTAACATTTTGATTCAGCAGTAACATTTTTTTTTAAATTAAATTAGTGTATTTTTTTTTTCCTAATGCTTCCCACCCCAAAAACTGCATTGAGAGAAGGAAAAGCCTCTTAAAACTCAGTATCTTATCACTAGACATGTGAAAGATGTCATATATCTGAATTATAACATGCATTTGTATAATGTGGTATACCAACTCAAGTTTTTAAATTTATAGTATGAAATGTATACTTTTCTGTGCTTCTTTGCTACATAGTTAAAACATATTTCTTTGAAACATTGTGAATGCATACCTGCCACATAAATAATCCATAATGTTGTAGATAATGATGTTTTAATTGAAATTAGGCAAATAGTGAATATACACATAAAGACTTTGAAACCTTATTAGCATGCCCATTTGTCAACAATCTTAAATGAGACTACTTTGTTATAACTGTATGAAATCATATAAAGGCAGAACACAATCCATATCCAACTGAAGTCAGTAATAAAGTTGACATAAACTGTAAAATGTGACATTAAAATGTATAAATTAATAATAAGTTATGGCCATATATGTAGTACTGAATTTGATACCAAATTTTAATGTTGGCTGAATTTTTACGACTGGACTATTACTTCATGAATTCATTGCATTTTCAAAATAACCTTTAAAATTTTTTTCAGATAATTCAGGTAAACAAACACATGCAAGAATCTAAACTTTAATCTTATTTAACATAATGTAAAGGTTAACTCTTTGTTATGGATGTATTTGTGTGTGTTTTGGAGAGGTATGAGAGGGATACCTGTACTACTGAAGGAATTTGGGATCTGCCCCTACATCCCACACCCCCCCTTGTTTCCCTGCATCTGACTGAAGTAAATGAGGTTATTTTCTTCTATGTCATTTCCAGGGCCTAAGACATTTTATTTAGTCTTAATATTACTGCTGCAAAACCTATACAAGAATGCTGAAGGAAGTCTGATGGACCAGGAATTTTGAAAAAAGTGGCTATAGATGTCCAAGGCTTCCTCTTGTATTAGGCAGTATGTCGTTTGATTTTTTTTTTTTATTTATTTATTTTTTTTCCCCCTGGGCAATGCAGTTTGGGTTTCTCCTGATCAAGGAGGACTGGCTGTACAGATGAATGGGATGTAGTTAAGTTTTGTTTTCTACAAACTATCAAAATATGAAAAGGGCAATACAGAAAATGTTTTTTAAAAATGATCCATTCCTTGATTTTTTTTTTTTTTTTTTTTTTTTTTCCCCTCTAATACTACTAGTGAGGATTTATAGTAGCTTAATGCTTTTGGGCAGGACACCCTGTGTGATTCATTAGTCTGAGGATCTGAGTAACCGCACTCTAACTTGCAGTTTGCTGGGAGGAACAGACTTTCACTGTTTTGTGGCTTTGGGACAGTTGCAGAGTTCTGTCTAAGCCTGAAATGGGGGATGAGCGCAGGACTTCATGTGCAGATTGCAGAATGATAGGCAATGTCTTAGCTTGTTACAGTAATTACTGGAGAAAATTTGCAGATAGGGAATAATGAGTAATTTTTCTGTTAGCAACCTGTGTACTGTGTAGAGGGAATAACTAAGACTAGGTGACTTCCTGGTATGGAAGAATCTTCAGATTGCTGTTTGGCACTTTGGATAAAGTGGATAAAATGACCACAGCGCACACACTGGAAAAATTTAAAGACCTGCCCTGTTAAAGTCAGCAGTAGAATGTCTGGCTTCTTAATTTGTCCTCATTTTGATTTAATTTATTCAAATGCCATTTTGTTACATGTATAAAAAAGGCTGTGTATTTGTTCTATTAAATAGTGCAACATACAGAGGTTTTACATCAGACTTGATAGATTAATTTTAATTATGTGAAGTTTCTACTGATGTTCTACCACTGTTAAAGTATATAGGTGCAGATATAGAACATTCTTCATACTTTAACTTGTCTTTTGTAACGTTTTGTGCCAGTGTTCTCCAGAGCAGTCCATTTGGGTGCTTTTTATGCATGTTTGTGTAGTACAAATTCCTGTCAGTTTTGTTTGGGTAACCTCTGTCAGAACCTGAAATTCAAAATATACTTTCTTTCTAAGACTGATTTGCTAATGTTAGGCTGTGATATGTTCCATAAGCTTGAGAGACTTGCAATCCTTTTTCAATGAAAGTTAAGAAAACATTTATCTGAATTCTAAGTATGAAGTATAACCTTCAGTTATTAGGGAAACGCTGGATATTCTAAAAGAATTATTCTTGAACATCTGTTAGGAGGTGACTAGGATGGGTTCTTGTAGGGTGGATTCTTGCTGCTAGATAACTACTCACCTACAGAAAGGAATTGATAATTGAATTGATAATATCCGTTCTGGCTTTTAGAGAGCGTATTGTGGCCAGTGCAGTGAAAGGATATGGGGTCTCGGAAGGCAAGGCTACAAGTGTATCAACTGCAAACTGTTGGTCCATAAACGTTGTCATATACTTGTTCCACTGACCTGCAAAAGGCATATGGTAAGTTTGTATTTTGTACAATGCTACGGCGTTTCACTGTGTCCTGTGTTGCTGTTTGTAGATGTGCATCCTAAGTAATTAAATGCTGTGCATGGTTGTGGATTTATAACACTTGGTGGCATTTGGTTTTCAGTTTCTGAAATGTCTGTGGAGGACAAGCCTCTGGGTTGTAAGCAGTAGAGAGAAAGTGAGAAAAGAAAACTTGTGATATGATTTAAGCGTGAGCAAGCTTGAGTTTGACTTCTCCAGTAGACGTACTGTATTTTACAGAGAGATAAAGAGTTGTCATTGACAATTGTAGCATTTGTTTCTTTTAGCCTATGGGAATGCCTTAAGAACTAAGGCACTTATGTGGTTTTTGCACTACTGCTTGCAAAAAGGTTTGTTGCTTTCATGTTGTCGTGGTTTAACCCCAGCCAGCAACTAAGCACCACGCAGCCGCTCACTCACTCCCCCCCCATCCAGTGGGATGGGGGAGAAAATCAGGAAAAGAAGTAAAACTCCTGGGTTGAGATAAGAATGGTTTAATAGAACAGAAAAGAAGAAACTAATAACGATAATGATAACACTAATAAAATGACAGCAGTAGTAATAAAAGGATTGAAATGTACAAATGATGCGCAGGGCAATTGCTCACCACCCGCCGACCGACACCCAGCCAGTCCCCAAGCGGCGAATCCCTCCCCCCCACACTTCCCAGTTCCTAAACTAGATGGGACATCCCATGGTATGGAATACACCGTTGGCCAGTTTGGGTCAGGTGCCCTGGCTGGGCATGAGAAGCTGAAAAATCCTTGACTCTAGTCTAAACACTACTGAGCAACAACTGAAAACATCAGTGTTATCAACATTCTTCACATACTGAACTCAAAACATAGCACTGTACCAGCTACTAGGAAGACAGTTAACTACATCCCAGCTGAAACCAGGACACATGTTCTTGCCGTCTCAGTTTCCCCAGTACTGTTCTCATCCTCTCCATTTCCCTCATATATTCCAGTGGCAATGCAAGTGTCTTTCCTAGGCTTTTAACATTAATCTGTATCCCTGAATTTTAGCCCCTCCCCATACTCATCACAGACTGTAACCAGTATCTCGCTGGTTGTTGCATCGTGTTTTTTCTAACTCTAAAATTAAACCAATATTTTTCTTTATTGGTACTGCATGTGATCTGTTTTGATGCTACTAGATTCTTTACCGATTTATTTATGCATGTTGCTATACCTACTGGAGTAGTCCTACATGTCTCACGAGTTGTGAATGAGACCAGTGTCCAAATGTACTATAAAACTATTTGGTATTGTGATCTTTACTCTTGGATAATGAGTAACAATTCCTGCTTTTTAAACAGGAAAGGAAGGCGCTCTAAATTGAGTGTGTAACTTCATGCTGAAGTGTTTACTTTGTTGCAGTTCCATGTGAAACAGACTCAGAAGTCTTAAATAGAATTAAAGTTTGAACTTTGCAATAAAATACAGTAGTCTTACTTTTTAGAAAGCAGCTAAACAGCTGTTGTAGTTGCAGTGAATGGTTGACATAGCATTTAGGCTTTTGGTAGGCTGGTTTTATGATGCATTACAGAATGTTAATATTTGGAAATACTTTCTACAAAATTCAGTTTCATTCTGGAAGATACAAATGTAAGGTTCTCACTGTATTGTAGTTATATGGCAAGACATAGTCACTTAAGGGACTGCATAAACCAGTGGTTTTTTCCTATATAACTTGTGTGTTTTGCAAGGATTCGGTCATGCCTTCCCAGGAACCTCAGTTAGATGATAAAAATGATGAAGTTGACCTCCCTTCAGAAGAAACTGATGGAAGTGAGTACTTTCTTGTCAAGTTGGAATTCATGTGTTTCCCCATTTGGAGGCCCAGTTTCCACTCTACCTGCTCGGGCTTTTTAAAGTTTACTTAAGATTAGCTCTAGTTTAGTCCCATGAACTAAATGCTTGTTAGGGACTCAATTACAGTAAATGTACTTCTGGAGCATATTATCTGGTTTGGTTTCATCCTAAATTCATATGCTCTGAAACAATTCCGGAATGTGAGGTTAAGCATGGAGCAACTGGCAACAATAGATTTGCTTTTTAAAACAAACAAAAGACCTGTACTTCAGATCCAAACCATGATGCTAATATAACGGCACCCTCAGACTTTAAGTATTTCTTAATTTTGTGCAATTTGGAGTACTCTTTCTAGGTTAATATTTTTGATGGTTTAACCTGTCTTGTTTTAAGGGCCCGTTTATCATACCCATTCTCCAAAATGACTCTGGCCTTTGTCAGATACTGTTATGAGCTCAAAGGTTCCTTGACGAATTTCTTACTGTCTCAGAGCTGGTTGTTACTGCAGTGCCCTTAGGGTCTGCTGTCAGGATTACAAGAGTAAGGTGGAAAAATTTGATCAACTGTCCCATAGTATTTAAAGCAAACTGCTGACCCTAAGCTACTAAATCATCTTTCCATTATCAATTTTTAAAATTATTTCTAATGAAGGCCTGAATAACCACACTATTTGTTTGATTTCTTTTCCAGTTCCCTACATTCCTTCAAACCGGAAACATGACAACATTAAAGATGACTCTGAGGTACGTTTTAAAAATGTTTTCATAATCCACATTTACAGACTCTTAATCATACAACTTTTTATAAAATAGCTTATTATTTGTCCTATTTTTTTTTCTGCTACACTTTAAAAAAAGAAGTCTGGGTTTTCTTTCTGGAAACTTGTTGGTTTGGATTTTTTTGGGTTTTTTTTTTAAGTATTTTTTGTTGGATTTTTCAGATTTCTTCTGTATACAGCTATTGTTATCCCAATCATGATGTGAGAAAGGTATCCCCCCCTTTTTTTTTTCTCCTCCCCTCCATTTGTGTTGGAACAGTGATTTAGCAGAGGGTTTGACTTTATTGGTACTTGCAATAAATGGTGGCTTTGACATTGTCTTGTTTGCTCTCTCTAATGGATGTACACCCTTTATCACCCTCAGGCTACCTCTACAGGCTATCGCTGTGAAAGTTGGTTTAGTCTGATACATTAACTGTCCAGCTCTGAGATGTTTCATATAAATAATACCTAATAATTTATAGACAGCTTCTGTGGAAATGCAAGTAGAATAACATACACTTAAACTCTGTTTTTCAGCTCTTTTGTAGACAGTCTGACACAATCTCTGCATACCAAGAATGTTATACCCTTAAAGCAGTTTGAAAAAACCTGATATGCTTTAATTCTAAAGGGCTTCAAGACATTTCTTTTAAAAATGCTTCTGGCATATTTAAAATAAATAGGATGCACTCTGCAGGACACTAGCAGTTTGTTTGATATCCCACTTTTAACAAGCCTGCACCTTTTTTTCCTCTACCTCCACTACAATACTTGTCACTACCATTATTTCACACTTGAGTAGTTCCTGCTCTTGGGTGACTGCCTTATTTTCAGTCACGTGTCTTTAGATTTTATCTCAAATTCAGAGGTGGAAGGGTATAAATTTAAAACATGTCAGAGAATTTTAATTGCTATCTACTATTACTGACTTCTGCTATGGTTAGTGCTCAGGTAGATATTGTTTGTGTTTAAATTTTGATAGGTGCTGTTTGCTCAAGTGTCCTGAATTATCCTGCTCTGATTTTCCCACCTTGCTGTTGAGCTTTACTAAAATATTTTAAGGTATCCTACAGAGAGGAAGTGGCATTCTGGGAGCTTTGTTGACTACAATCTTTAAGCTCAGAGCAATCTCTTCTAATAGCAGTCAATCCTAGATCAAGATTCTTTATATAAATACTTTCCGTAGTTCAGCAGAATGCTGATCTGTCTACAAGTACAGTAGTATGAGGTCAGATAAAAATAGGCCACAGAAGTATGTCAAAGCATTGTATATATTGGTAAAACATGAAATGGTAAAGTACATGCAGCATTTGTCTGGTTCAACTGCTTGATCTTCAGTCTCATGTGTTCACATCTCATTTCAGCAAACAGCCAAGTAAAATGTATCTTTTGAAGTAATGAATTTTAAAATAACATTCTTCTTAGTGGAGTATTTCCTGCAAATTCTCACTTCTGAGAAATTGGCATCTGCTTCTGTATGTTCCCAGGCACCTATTAGAAATCTTTATTTTCATTAAAACTATAGTGAACTTCATACAGACAGCTGTTGCCCAAACTGAAACCAAGACAGGTATATTCATTAGCAAACTAATGTTTCCTTATCCGTCGTCTTTTACATAGCCTTCATTAATTTGTACTACAATATCTGTCAAAATATGAAAGATGCTCTTCACTTAGTGCAAAGTGTAATTCTACGTGGCTTGTGGTTCAAGAATTTGAATAGAACTTCATTTCCCAAGGCATTGCTTTCCATTTTCCAGTAGGAAATATTTAAATGATTCATTGAATGAACTACTGCCTTGAAAAACACAGTAACTTTTAGTAAGAACAAAACCAATACCAACCAAACATTGCTAAACAAATGTGTTATAATCAGCCATTCAGATCTGTGTGCCAGTGGCAATGGCAAGGAAACTCAGCAAGTTCTGTCCAGTGGTTAAAGACCTCATTGCTTTAATAGTTACTTGTTATGAAAATGTCTTCTGTTTCTAGCATCTGTTTCTTTTTATACAGGATATCAAACCAGTCATTGATGGAATGGATGGAATTAAGATTTCTCAGGGGCTTGGACTACAGGACTTTGATTTAATCAGAGTTATCGGACGTGGAAGTTATGCCAAAGTTCTTTTAGTTCGGTTAAAAAAGAATGATCAAATTTATGCTATGAAAGTAGTGAAAAAAGAATTGGTCCATGATGATGAGGTAAAAGTCTGTGTTAATTGCATTCTGTTACATATTGTAAAAACGTAATATGCTTTAACAAAAAAGATTCAAGTAAGAAAGCAGCTAAGGTTTTAGACAACATTTCTGTAATAGAAGTTTTATTGACTTTTGAACTCATTTGTTATCAACTGTCTGCATGAAACACCAAGATTAAATCTGAGAGAAATGTCCCTTATTTTAGTAACAATTGACAACTATTAATTGTCTTAGTATGCATGTGAAAAATATGCCAACCTCCATGTGCTAATCCAAGTGATGAGATAAATAGGGTGGAATTTGGGCACTTAATTTTGAAAGAAAACAAAGATGTTTTCCAAGACAAATGAATGTAGCTGTAAAGTATTGTCTGTATTTCAGCATAGGACCTGAAACTGTGTTCTTATACTTACGATTATAGAACTTATGTGCAAGTGACACAGTACTCGGATATTTTTTTTTCCATGGGTTTAAAAAAAAATTCTGTTACTACTATTTGAGGTCACTATGGTTTAACTGGCTTGTAAAAAAAAAAAAAAAATCTGTCTGTCACAGAAATCAGTGCTGCATTTCTCAATTATTTTCAAAATCCTGTTGAAATTTTTTTAATACAGGATCTCAAATGCACAAGTCAGGGTGGGGAGGGAGAGAAAAGGGAGAAAAAAGCCTTCATCTTTTTCCTATAATACTCATACTTCTTGAAAGGTATAGAGTTTATATCCATTCTGCTTTTTTCATAAATGTGATGAACCAGTCACAGCATGCAAGGAAGGCAGATTTGAACTACCTACAGTGCCATTAGACTGGAACCTGCTGTGTTAAGTAACGGAGCAGGGGATGGGGCAACTGGAATGCATGTGGTCAGACCACAGCCCTGATAAAATGGCTGAGGCCTGACAGAATGATAATAAATGTTGTCAGGTGACCAGCTTTATTGGAATGCTGCAGTGTGACATGCTCATGCAGGAGTGGCAGTGTCTCTGATGGGGTACATAAAGCATGACACTATTAAATATTTGAAGAGTACAGTAGTACTGTGTCATCCTTTTGGGTGGAATCCCAAACTCTAATTAAAATAAGAGATGGACCATCAGTCTCACCTCATAAAGAATTTCTTATATAGCTGTTCTTACAATATAAAGTGAACTTATCAAATAGAATGCAATTTTTAAGCTGATGATGTTATATTAATTTTATGCTGTTAGGAAGACTAGATTTCTTGAAAGAAGGATATTGAAAAAAAAACCCAAAATACATTGGTTTAAGTACTATTTGTGTTGGTAGTTTCAGTTAGTTTCTCTGGCTGCCATTTTTGTCATTATTCCAGAGGTTAGGGTTAGGAAAGTAAAGTTGTAAAGTTCTTCTAAAATACTTTGACCTGCTCATTTATTTGATGTTTCTTTTCGTGACCGAAGATTAGACTGTGTGGTTTGTTTAGTGTTTCCTTTTTAAAATATGTTTTTCCAAGAAGGTAGAAGCTAAAGAAGAATATTATTTAATGAGTTACGCAGTTGTTCCTGAGAATCAGAGGTAGATGAGAAAAGTCTTTCTTGAGTAGTGGCTCTCATAGATAATTGCATAGAAGGCTGAGCTAATTGGTTTTTCTTTTCTATAAGATAGGCTGTATAATGAAGTTCTGGGAATTGGTAGGAAATTAACTGAACTCTGTGAATGCATGAGATACTGCAAGTAATGGAAACTTCACCTACTAAGTGTTTCATGGAGAAAGAAAATTAATTATGTAGCAAGTATCAGTATGTTTAAATCACCTAGTGCTTTCCAGGTAGTGGTTGATATTGGAGAGAATTAAAGATTATTTTCTAAATGAGATTGAAGCAAATCAAATACCTGGGCTTCTGCTATTAGATTTTTCTGAGCTTAATCTTGTTAACAGTAGTGCACTAGTACAATAAGTACACAAGTGCAATAATGAAGGGGTTAGTTTAAAGACTCTTAAAGAGAAGCTCATTCAGCAAAACCAAAAAGAAGTGAGCATGTTCATTGTTTTATTAAAAATGGGATTTGGGGCTTGTGTTTGGACCCAGGTTTAACCTTCCAAGGTGTTGTATCTTCAGGAGTGTCGAAATGTAAAACCTAACAGATTTAATTTGATGGTGAAATTTCTTGATTTCCTTTGAGACTTCAGTTTCACTAACTATCCTTGACATGAAGGTCTGGTCTCTGAGTATCTGTCTTTGTTGTCTCTAGATTGGTTGGGAAGCTGGAAGTATCTGTTGGAAATAGAGAATTTTTAGAACAATCATATTTCTAGTTTATTGGCAGGATGCTGAGTGTTTGCGGGGTGGAACGTGATTGGTGTATTGCATGAAGAGTGAATATCTACTGCTAAACACAGTTGTCTGTAAGGTTTGAATCTTGCAGTACTATGCCAGTATCATTCAAATTTTGATAGGTTTTTATTACATGGTATTGCACTGGCTATTCGGGACTTTTCCCTGTTGAAGTATTAAAGGTAGTCTGTGATACTTTTAAGAATGATTTTGGTTGGACAAACTAATCATAATTGGGTTTTGGTAGTTTCATTGAATTCATTTTCTCATCTGAAGCTCAAAATGAAGTTCAGTTTACTTGAACCTTTTAAAAATTGGATATTCAAATTGCTTGTGTTACTGGCATGAGTTGCTTCAGCAGCCCTAGGATCTTTTATCTAAGATAATTGAATTTATTTCTATGAAGCAGTATGAGCTGTGTATCAAATATTGCAGATGTATGATGTTTTTAAATGGCTTAAATTTTGTGCAGACCTTACTAAATGGTTAAGAAACTTCTGAATATATAATTGAATGGTTTTATAACTTCCTCCAGATTTTAGGGGGTTTTGTCTTTCTGAAGAACATATGTAACAATGACGGTATTATGTAAGGGAGCATAGATGTTCACAGTTTCTTTTCTGGGAATACCCGCAGTGGTTATCCAGCAGGAGTTCTGATTGTTCAATTACTCTATTTCAGGATATTGATTGGGTACAGACAGAGAAACATGTGTTTGAACAGGCATCCAGTAACCCATTCCTAGTTGGTTTACATTCATGCTTTCAAACAACAAGTCGGTAAGAAAGATCTGAAATTATTTTGTTTTGAAAATCTTGATCATTGTACTAACTGCTTCTCATAAAGCAAACATAACCACTGCCATCACATAGTCAGTAATTTTTGGAAGGAAGCATTAATATCGTCAGGGATTCACTACTACAACAAAGCGAGTTCTAGCAGTGTAGCTTAGCCAATATGGCTTGGAGAAGAAGGGCAGGGTTTTCGAGGCCCAGATCTGAAGGGATAAGATGCATGAGAAAGAGGAGGAACTGCGCGCTGTCTTCCTGAGCACAGGCTGTGTGGCTTCAGGAGTAGGAGGATGGTGGTGGGGTAAAACAGAGATAGTTTGTAAGAGATAGTTTATAATACCTGATTCTACTGGGGAGGGCCAAACTCGTTCTCGGAGGGCCAAACTGTAGTTCTCTGTTCTTCAAAATAGCGTAAGAGTTGGCCTGCTCAGTAATAACAGCTTTTAATAATAACTTAAAAACCTACATGTGTATGAAATATTTTTTACCTATGAGGCTTATGAGCCCTTAGCACATATTGATGAAGTACGTGATTTGATTTGAAAAAGTGCTTAATAAACTCTTAGCTACTTTGAAATACTAATTTTTTTTGTCCTTGTGTGCACAATCCGCTTCTTAGTTTGCAATTGGAATATGAAGAAAATCAGGAACTGTCATGCCCATGCTTATGTATGTCACTGGGGAGTTTGGATGTGTGGGGTTTTGTGGTTTGGGGTCTTTTGTTTTCACAGGCACCTGTTTACTGTTACGCTTTTATGTCTGGTGCCATATGTATCATAATCAGGAGATAAAAGTCATTCTATCTGACTTCCTTGAATGGCGTGCAGTGTAGAGTGCAAACGGTTTTAAGAGGTTTTCATGGATTATCTAGTCACTTATCCTTAAGAATAATCACCTGTTCATTACAGTGTGTATTATCAACTTATAAAATATGACACTATGCACTGTACCATTTCTTCAGTCCCCAAACTTTCAACCCCTTAATGGTTATAGTCATAGGAAATAGCATTTTCCTAGCAGGGAAAACATAGCTAAGATAAAGGAAGTAAAGAAGCTGTACGAAGAGCATTCTGAAGGTACATGTACTAGGGAGTATTTTGGAGCAGGGAGTAGGAATGATCTCCAAAGGTGACTAAGGATTTGACCAAAAGAACTTTGTCTTCCAGACAGGAAAAAAAAGTCTTCAGACAACTAACAAACTTGTGAAAGGCCCTTTAAGTTAAAACAGCATTCATAAACATCTTTTCACCAAACACTAAGTAGTAGTGAACATCTAATATAGAAATTCAAGTGGTCAGGCAGGGTGAAGTATTGAGAATGAGGTTTCATATAAATACTGGAAACAAGAAAAAGGCTGAAGTCAGCAATAGAAAGATCTTTTGCATGCCACTTTGGTAGTTATGCTGACATAGTCGAGGAGCAGAAATAGAAAAAAAAAAAAGCTGAATGTAGTCAAAGCTTTGACTGTATTCCTGTTGTATCTTTAGGAGTCCTGTTTTTGCAGCCTGGCTTCTCCTTGCAGTGAAACTGTAATTTTTTGTTTATAACTTCAGCCATTTGCCATGGATATAGCCATAATGTCATGAATTCAAAATTTGGTTATAGCTGTAATGTTATAAAATCACAATTACGACCTCATTATACAAGAGAAGCACGAAACTGATTTCAAGTAAATAAATTCATCAACACTGGATTGTGTTAACTGGCCCAAAGAAAACAAGTTGTAATATGACAACAGTTTGTGTATAAGTGTACTAAGGGGGGATGGGGAAGTTGCAAAAGAACATGTCCTTTCTTTTAAATAGAATTTTAAATAAATTTTTGAAGATAAAAGAAATGTGTACTTAAAGATGCTACTTGATACTGAATGTAGCTGTTTACATTTTCAGGTATTAGTGATGCTTGTTTTATTATTGTAATAAAATATGTGTCTTGGGCTTGCCCAGAATTGCCAGATAAGTGTCTTCCAAGATGCTAACAGTCTGAAATCTCCATCCTGCAAAACCATTGGTGTTTGAGTAAATCCTTCTAAAACCAGCAAGGACTACCAGTATCGACTTACTTAAGTGCTTGAACATGACTTGACACAAGGAACTTTAGATTGCAGGTTTTGAATGGTGATATAACATTGGAAGCTCCTAGATAGGATAGGAAAGTTGGAAGCAAAAAATATCAGGAATGCTGTAATAAAATACTAATGGCATTGTTATCTATTTTATTTATTGTTTAATTAATTTTAGTTTAGTTTTTATATTCTTGTGGGAGGGCCACTGAAAGAGTTGCAAGCTGGGTTGTTTCCTGGTTTACCTTTTAAGTTTCTAATACTTTGTTTCAAATGAAGAATCCCTTTTCAAAGGAAGGGTGGAGGGGTAGAATTCTTCTTTAATTGTTACTAATTAGAATGGTCTGAGAGACTGGAGCATGTGTTTACCAAATAGAATGTTTTCCATTGTGTGGATATATGGAAAGGAGTTTTCAGCTCCTGGAATATTAGGTGTATAAGGAACTACTGCCTCCTGGGACAGCTGCAACCTTCATAAGAAACTCTCACTCAGCGTGTTTCTATCCTGTAGGTCTCCCTGACCTTGGCATCATACTTTCCCAAGGATGAAATCTTTCCTGCAAACTGTAATAGAAGGTTTTTTGATATGGCTGATTCCACCTATATTTCTTTCCCCTACTGACTTTTCTCCTGTTTGTTTTGAGAAGACTGTTTCAAAAACTTGTTCTACAGAGGAACTAATAAGCCTTGACACTGCAGCCTTTCTGTGCCCAGGTCTTCCATTTAGTGAATATGCTGCATAGAGAATAACAGAAGTGGGTCGGTTACACTTTCTTTTAATTCATGTTTTTCTACAGATAAAGGTGTTGGCAAAGTCAAGGGAGGATGGGATTTCATTATCTGTCCTGCTAGCTCACTGAATTTAGTTTTCATCTCTTATAAATAATGGACATAGGAGAATGGAGTTTCAGTCCTCAAATTCTTTAGTCTCAGTCTGTCTATACAAATAAAACAGAACTTTTTTTTTCCCTTCTAGGAGTGACAGTATGTTTCTTAACAGTGTATCAGGAGGAGTTCAGGGATGATCATGGGGTTTAATAGAAATAATTTTGTATGTGTATGTTAATAATATGCTAGGTCATGTAACTTTAATTGGAAAAAAGATTATTGTGTCATGCTATTCAGATTAAACTTGTATTTTATTTTTTTTTAAAGTAAATTTGGGTTACGTAAGTGACTCATGTCATCCTGCTTTCAATAGTCTGTTTGAGCTTTTCAGGAGCTGAAACAGCACAAACAGCAAGCTTCATAGTTATATATTTAACTAATATCACAAATCCTACAAAACTTACTGATCTCTGTAATATTGCCAGATACTCATTAATTATTGTTAACGATGAAGTAATTTTTTTACTGTGGTGACCTTTTATTGGCAAAACTATATAAAAAATACAAATGAGAATTTTCAGATTTTGCCCATGCAGAAACCTTGTTGACTTAGGTGTATATAAACTACACTTCATCTACAAAGCTCTTCAGATTTAATGCTGTAACTTGGCTATTAGAAAAGAACAATATTTAGTTAAGCAGAGTAACAATTTAATTATTACATCAGGGTAAATGTCAGATTTAATAAGAAAGGTCTGAATTTAAACTGATGCATCTTTTAAAGTATTTTTTAATCTTAAAACCTTTATTTTAACAGCATTGTTTCAGGTAGTCTTACTTTTTTTTTCAGTCAATCAGATGTTCTTATTCGAAGCAGTGAACTCACTGAGCAAATTTTATGCCGTGGAGTTTTGTTCCATAAAAGTCAAAAGAATTAACATCTTTGAATAAGAGATAGTCATGTAACTTTGTTGTTGTTGTTATGACTTTTTCAAATGAATGACAATTTTACCTTTTCTGGGTAAACTTTCATTTTTGCCATGTGTCATCTTCTAGCACATCTCCATGATTTTGCCATCTTAGTAGTTTTTAAGGAAGTCTATATCATTATATGCTTAGGGTTGTGGGTTTGGGTTTGGGGGTTTTTTTTTTTTTTTTACATCTATTGCTGAGCAAGTACCTCATTATGTTAGGCAAATGCTATTGTCTTCTATACTGTTTAAATAGTTCTGCAGGTTTCACACCAAATAGTAGCCTGTTGTATGCAGTTGCCTCTCCTTAACATTTAGTCTGGCATTTAAATAAAGGATGTGATCCTACATAATATGGATCAAATAAGTACTCTATTTTTTCTCTTGGTTTCTGTAACTATAAGAAATTTTATAAGTCGAGTTCAAGAGTGGAAGTGAAAATGGCTCAAATTGGAAAGATAAGAATAGTTTTTCTTGAGAGTTTCCTTGGAATCCATTAATTGTATTATATACTTTCAGATTGTTTCTTGTCATAGAGTATGTAAATGGGGGAGATCTTATGTTTCATATGCAACGGCAAAGGAAACTTCCTGAAGAACATGCAAGGTATTTTACTAACACAGTGGTTTTCTTCTGTTGTAGTTGTTTAATGTTGTATGAAATGCTTCCCAAACTTTATTCCATAGAAGAATATGAATAGCAAAGAAAGAACAAAAGGTTGATTCTTAAGTTTAGAATTTACTGCTCTGGGAGGAAATGTTAATTATTTTTTTTAATGATATATTGGGGGGTGTGTTTTGGTTTTTTTTTGGTTTGGTTTTTGGTTTTTTTTGGTTTTTTTTTTTTTTTAAAGAAAGCAAATGTTTGATAAGTAGTAACAGTTATTCCTATCTACTTTTGTTTATTGCTTCATATTTAGGTAATGCTTCTTTGATCTGTTGATAGAAGATGTAACTATTCTACTTATTTTAGTCTTACAGTGAATTAATATAGCGTTGGTAGGAGAAGATGAAAAAATATATTTTGCGTGGCTTTGCGCTACACAAAGTCTCATTGTAACTCTTAAGCTGAAAATACAGATCTTCTATGTCATACTTGGAATTTTCAGAAAAGATTCTGTAGGATAAACAATAAATGTTTTCTTAATTAGTAGAATGAAAAAAAATATTCCTGTATTTCATTTAAGGAATGGTTTTACAATAGAAAAGATCAGTGTCCTTATGAATAAACATAGCTTGGTTTTGGTGTACTGTTGAGATATAAAAGCTGACTGTAAAGTGGTGTTTTAAGAACAGAGTTTTTTAATTGCACCAGCTTTTGTACAATCTTAATGCTAATATGAATTTTCTCCTTTTTAATTTCAGGTTTTATGCTGCTGAAATTTGTATTGCTCTAAACTTCCTACATGAAAGAGGCATAATCTACAGAGATTTAAAACTAGACAATGTTCTTTTAGATGCAGAGGGTCATATCAAATTAACAGACTATGGCATGTGCAAGGTAGGCTTTTTCTCACCTTTCTTTTGTCACTTTGTCATTCAGTAGTATATTTCTCTGATTATGCTTTTAAGTCAAATACTGCATCCAGTGATAATAAGAGAAAACTGAGAAAATTTATTCTTCCCTTAATGCTAGCGTTACTGAGCCGAGAATTTGGTTGTGGAATAGGAACTTTATTTTGAAAAATGACTGTTGAAGAATAGAGCCGCATTTGTAACTTTTTGCTTTGTGTATTTCAAGTTACGTTGATCATTTTGGGGGACAAAAGAAGTTTGATCTGTTGGCCAAGTTCATTTCCTTTATCTGTTTCCTATGTGACCCAAGTTAGAAAACTTATCTTTAAGACAAGTACATTTTTAAAAGGGTCTTTTCCATCTCTTAGTAACTGAGGCTCTGTGAACATGAATTGCATTTGTCATTCTCTGTGGCTGGACTGTACAGGTAGTTAACCAACACGGACTCTCTAGTATCTCAGTTCTTAGGCTGCAGTCTTTGGCACTGAGAGACAATTTAGAAAGCATTGCTTTCAAAGCACGTGGTAACGTGTAGCATGTCCTTAACGTGATGCAGAGGAAAGCACGAAAATATCAATAGAAAATGAGTATAGAAAATTCTAAATTTAAAACTTACATGTGTAAAGTTGGAATGCCAGACATGAGTGAAGTGGTTGAAAGCTGACAAGAATTCTGCTATCCCCTGAGAGCTGTTGATTTGACCTCAAGTCTTCTTGTTATCGCCACACTGTTTCTGGCTAGTATGTGAAATGGGACTAGAGTTCAGTCTATTTCTTGGTGAGAATAAGTTTCTGAAGCCAGAATTGCAATTGGCATTGTGTTGATTCTTAAAAGTCCAAGTATAATACTAATTTTTATTTAGCTTATTTCAGAACATGGTTAAAGCATGTTATGATGATGTAATGAGGAAAGCTTGTCTCATTCCCTCCATAGAATAGATATTGCACCAATTTCTAAGAATGCTGGACTAGAACGTTTCTCCACTATCAAAGTGCACAGGTTGTGGGGCTTCACTTGGAATGTAGCAGTTATGTAAAAGTTTGATTCCTTCATTCCTAAAAATAGAAGGTTTTTTCCCAACATCTGTTTGAAAAGGACTTCCAAATTGGTTGTAATATGAATTTTTTTTTAAATGTATCTGTAAATACTGAACAAGATGTTGTTAAAAATGTGTTGTGGCTGAGTATTAATCAGTTAGTTTGCTGAAGATAAGCTGTAAGGTCATAAGCCAGCTTTGACCACTGTGAGTATTTATTTTTCTCTAGCATTGCCTTTTTTGAAAGGACAGTCTTTAGACTCCCTACGTAACTTACCTTTATAAGTCTAATTAAGGGAAGTTCCTGGAAAAGGAGGTCAGCTTTTAATTTATGAAATGATTTATGCATGTAGGAAGGTTTGGGCCCTGGTGACACTACAAGCACTTTCTGTGGGACACCAAATTATATTGCACCAGAGATCCTCAGAGGAGAAGAATATGGTAAGCTGTGACTATACAATTTGTAGTTATAATAAATCACAAAGCAAAGGTCTAGTTGTAGGTTGGTTCAAATACAATTATCTTTAGATTTCCACATTTTTTTGCCGTGAGAAAATTGCATATTGTACAGTTTAATTTTTTTCTGAAATAAGGTTATTTTTGTTTTTCTCTTGCAATCACTCGTTTCAACTTCTTTTAAATCATACTTTGCCTGAAAAATAACTATTAAATGATACTGTAGCAAAATCAAGTCCATTCCTTGAAGAGCTTGACATCCCAGCTACTGATGTCTTCCAGACAAGGTTATAGAATGCTATAACAAAGTTATTGCTCACGCAGAAGTCAAAAGTATAATAGTCTTTTTAACCAGTGTTGTTGTTTGAACTGATCTGATCAATAGGTTGAATCTGTCACTTAGTTACAAGATACTAAAATGTTCAACTTTTAAAACAAACAACAACAACAAAAAAGAACCACACTGAAAATTTTCAGCTTAAATACACTGAATTTTCATTGAAGCATTGCTGTCTGGCAGACACCTGCAAACCCCTATACAGATTACGTTTGTAATCCCAGTTCAGAAAACTCTCAAGTCTCATCCAGTGATAGTGTAAGTCATGAAGTGTGTGGCTTCAGTGGAGGTAGAGAATTTCAGTACTTAGTAGAACCAGGCCGTTAATCTTCATTTATGAGAGATAAGACCTAAATTCAAGGATTCCTGGCTGAAAATCTGCTCTGCACATATTTACAGGGTTCAGTGTGGACTGGTGGGCTCTCGGTGTGTTGATGTTTGAAATGATGGCAGGAAGGTCTCCATTTGACATTATTACTGACAATCCAGACATGAACACTGAAGATTACCTCTTCCAAGGTATTAGTCATTTTGATTTTTTTTTTTTTTTTTTTTTCATTTTTGGGGGAGAAATAATGAAAATTAGCAATTCCAGTAGGACAGTTAGGTTTTTCTTTTTCATTGTTATCCCATAGCTGCCTGTATATCTACTGTAGATAAAAGGACCTCAATATTTCCAGTTCTTTATTCCAGGAATATGTTTTGTTGAACTCAGATAAAATGGTCTGGAATTAGGAAGCCTTCTAGAGACAATAAAATATTTTGTAAAAATGTCCACAGTTCAGAAATAACAGCCAGAAATTGTATGGAATGGTATCTTTGTTAGAAGGAAGTCCACAGACCAAGTATGAATTTTAAAATTCAGTGTTACGTGAGATGCTAGGAGGATCTTTCTTGACAGAAATGTATCAACCTATAGTTTTGCTCTTAATTTTAATTTTTTTTTTTTTTTTTTTTTTTTTACTGCTGTTGAAATTTATATAACTTTTTGTAACAGTTTTACCCTTCAGGAGTAGTAAATGTATGAAAGTGTCTAAACAAAAGTAGTAATACTGGTTGTATTTATTACAACAGAAACTCTGTAACAGTTTGGGGAATTGCAAAGTTGTCTACTCCCTAATATGCAGAACCATTTTTTAAACTAGTTACTGCAATTATGTAACAGAATCTGCCATGGTCATCTTGAAGAGCCTACTTTTCCATATACTGAGGACACTGGAAAAAGTTTTATTCCCTGTTTGTACTATGGACGATAGAAAAAAGATAATGAAGCTAACATTTCTTTTAGGAAATCTTGAAATGTTGGTATAACAGTGCCTTGAATTACTGTAGCTCCTTTTGTTTGCATTATTTTAAATAATTACCGTATCTTCCCATTTTCCAGATGGTAACCTATTTAAATAATACAGTGTTTGTATTGAAATCATGGTCAATGTCATAAAACAAAAAACAATATTGCTGTTTTTAAACCTGTAACAGTTATTCTTGAGAAGCCAATCCGGATTCCAAGGTTTCTTTCTGTCAAGGCTTCCCATGTGTTAAAAGGATTTTTAAACAAGGTAAATAACATTCTCTTATTTTTAGCATCTAAGTTCTGGAAGTCAGAGCTTCCTGTTGAAAGCAATACAGTTAAGAAGTTAATCTGCTTACGATTGAGAAAAATCTATAAAACCTTGGTATCCTATATGTTAAAAAAAGCCCATTTCTTAGTTGCCAATTTACTGAGGGAATTCCACAGCACATACTTGATTTAAAAGCCTGCACCTAGTTAAAAAAACAAACTATTGGTTTGTTTATAAACTCTTCTGTAATACTTATTACTCATTTAATTAAGCTGCTTGAAATCTGTAGAACCATTATGATTTCTAATGGAGAAAAGAAGGGTATGAATTATATGTTACTAAATAAATCTTTTATTATTTTAGGAAGTTGTAAAATATAATTTAAAAATGAAATTTCAAACAAACTTAATTAGAAAAAATAATCCCTTGATAGCCATAATATGTTTATCTTAGCATCAGTTTGCATAATCATAGGGAATGGTGAAGTCATGTATGTGGGCTTTTGACAAACATGGACTGTAACTGGCTTAAAGTATGTAATAGGAGTTTCTGTGTTTTCTGCAGGATCCCAAAGAAAGGCTTGGTTGTCAGCCGCAGACAGGATTTTCTGATATCAAGTCTCATACATTTTTCCGCAGCATAGACTGGGATCTGGTAAAAATAATTACTTCTGTCTTTACGTGTTCAAAAGGAATAGATTCTTTCAGTTTATTAATTGCGCGTGTATGTAATAACTCCATTAAAAACAGTGACATTCAATTCCATGAATGTAAAAGCTATTTTGCTTTTTCCAGGTGATGGAGAAACAAGCTTTCTTTCATGACCATAATGGAAACAAGCTTTATTTCATGACCAAAAATCTGGCTTGCTTCCTAACTCTAAGAATGGTTACAACTTGTGGGTATAATTTTTAAAATATATGATGAATTTTAAAAAAACATATTACAGTGTTGGTGGAACCATTTATTTCTTGGTTTCTATTTATAGATTCTGCAAACTCGTGCAGTGGGTTCTGCTGCTATAAAATTTATCCAGCATGCACGCAAGGTACCTGCAATTGTAGTGTGAAGGACTGCATTGATTTGCAGTATCAGAATTCAATGCCTTGCTATTCTGGGTGGTCATTTCATATAGTCCTATTAGTAAACATTTCAAGCTCCGCTGAACAAGGAAGTGTGGACGAGCAAAGACAGCCTATTGGAATGCTATTCCAGTACTTCATTTCTTTTGCTGATTAGAAACCTTTCTGCCTTGACAGGAAGGTTAGTAGTTGATTAACACAGCCAACAGACTGGGTAAAGTGTTATTAAACCAGTTTAGATACAGCCATGGAAGATGAGGTACTTCAGATACAGGAAGCATTTGTAATCTATTTGTAGTACATCAGGAAAAAATAACAAAAAAACCCACCAAAAAAACCCAAACCCAAAACAAACACAAGACTGAATCTACAAACAATATAATATTGAAGATCAGTAGGATTATTCAGGTAGTAATAGGTAACGGGGTTTAGTAACATGAGTGAGTAGGATCAGGTCTTTTGTTTTTTAAGGGTGTGGCTTGAAAGCAGTGTGGTTACCTTAAATGATTCTCTGATTATTGCTTTCAAGTTTTCTTTATTACAGCTGGTGTGAGGGAATTTTTTAGTTCATGGTGGAGTAGATGACTTGCATTTCAGTGGTTTTGCAAGCATAAAATATTATTGAAATTGTAGGTTTTTTAAAAGCTTCTGTTACTTGATAGTTGTGCCTTCTTCTGTCTTCATTGTGGAAAACTCTTACAGAAATGGCATTGTTACATTTATTGACACTTGAGCAATAAAACAATTACGTCAGGAACACTGACTTATCAGCATTACTCTTTTTAATATCTAGTTGAACAGTGAAAAAATACGCACATAATATTTTCATAGTCCTGGGAAGTCTACAGGAAGTGTAGAAATAGGCAGGCAGCAGTGCCTGTAATAACATGAAGGAGGTTCAGAGGAGGACAGAAAACTGCATGATTATATTTTTACTTTGAAGCCTGCTGTTCAGACCTTCATTGTTAACATTCTTCAGAGAAGACATTTGCTACATAAGGAGCCAGTGTTTTAAAATACCTGGTGTTTAGAAAATTATTCATGTAATGAAGGCTGTCTTTAATTTTGTCAGACATCCCTTGTTTTGTATTCTCCCTTAAGCCAAAGTGTTAATTTTTTTTAATGTTGGCTACCTAGTGATGCTATATTGCAACTTGCTTGAGTTTGTGGTAGAGCATAAGCATCGTGTACTGCAGGGTTTCTGTTCTGTTTTGCAGTTTTTTGGGAGAGAGGGAAAGAGGGAAGACGGTTGGATTTGTATTTTGTTTATTTGTCTAAGAAACTCTTAATTGCAATTGGTGGTACTTGGTCAATGTTTATGCTGATTTGAATTTTGATTTTTTTTAACTTTTTTTTTTTTGGCTGAAAGCTTTGGTATTAAATATCTGTTTAAAAAAACTAATGGAAAGATTTAGGTGGTTGTGCTGTTTTGTGATATGATAAGGACTGTTGCTCAGAAGGATCTAAAATATCATATAAATATTAAGCTAAATTTCTACTACAGTGTTGGGAAATACATTCAGGAGAAAATGAAAAAAATATTTGGAAAGCTTTTTTACTTATTGGAAATTTCTTTGAAATGCAGGTGATGAGTAAAAAATTCTGACTTAAAAGTTTTTCCAAATCTTTTCGTGTTGAAACACAAGGAAACAAGAGTCTAATGCTGACTAAAATTTTTTTCTGTGTGAAGCTTGAGTTAAATGGAAAAATAAATAATGGTAAAGTGAACACATGTACCATAAACTTTTTTCCCTAGTGTTAGTCATCTGCGTTGTGTGTGGCACAGCTAAGAACATTTTAGATTACTCACTCTGCATAAAGGATGGCTTAACAGCATTCAGGGAAGTACCAACACAACCTTTTTATGATTATTTCAGTACCTGAAGTCTGTTCTTATCCTAGTGCCTGGTTTTATGGTATTTATCCATTATATTCTGGAAAAAGAACTACGAAGCCATGGCTACTGTTACCTGTGTACAGAAGCAGTAAGGTTTTTTCTAGAGCTGTACCAATGTATTTTTTTACTCATTTTCTCAAGTTAAAGGCTGCAAGTTCACTATATAGTTTATTTAAGAGTGCTTTCATGCTTTATTGAGTACAACATAAAAGAGGCAGTCAGATGTTTAACATCTAGTTGAATGCCTTGCTGTTGAAATGTTAATGCATAGCTACGACTGACTCATAATGACAATCTTACCACCCTACTTCAATTTTTAAATATTCATTTTGCTGTTTCTTTCATGTTGCCATTCTTGTTTGGGAGGAGCTAATTTTATCTTCCTTACAACTGTTCATTTCATGATGCTTTCTAAGACCTGATAACTGATGGGATGTTGATGTGTTGAGATTCCCTACCCAGTTATAGTTTTGTGATTTCCTCACATCTCCATCTGTACTCATCACGCTTTTGTCTTAATCCTGGAATGCAAGATTTTTCTGTGATTGATCACCTTTTTCGTTGTTTACTCTGTGCCAAGCATAATGACATGTCCTGGCCCTACAACCAGGTTTCCTACCCATGTTGGTAATATAAGTAATAATTTTTGTCAGTGGTGGCTACTTTTCACTTACATTATGCTTACCTGTTTTTTTAAGTTAGGTTGTGGAGATTGTAGTTTTGGCTTTTTTTTTTTTAACTGAATATGAATTTTAGAATTAGAACTTTGCTGTCTGTGCTACTACAAAGTTGACTAAGTGACAGATTTTTTTTTTTTTGTCTCCAGTGCTGTGGTGGTAAAACTTTAGGGTTAAGGGCTAGTTGAAGTTATTTACTCTGTATAGAAGTGTTGCAGGTAATATGGCATAAGTTTCCCTTCCTGCTAAATATGATCAGTAGCTTTCCCATACTTCTATACTTATATTCCTAAATTGCCAGTATTACTTATTACAGTGTTATGTCCTCTGCAACTCTGTAGAACATTAAACTAGAAATCTGAGTCTTAAGATCTAAATTACAATTGCAATTTTTATTTATGACCTATGATATATCAGAAATAAGTCTCCTCTGCACACAAATGCTATTCCTCAGGAAGAGAAGTAAATATATTGTGGTAACTTTTGTATTGCAGCAGTAAGCATCTGTGTGGGAATTTTTCAATCCCATGTGTAATCTACCAAGTTAGAGAAAACTTAAATGGCTGAATTATTTATGGACTTCTATTTTTAAATGCAGAGCACTAATTATATTGGTGTCTGTTGCCTGGCTTGTAATGTGTATTACTAGGGTATTTTGACATTTCTCTCCAATACCATTTAACGTAGTTGAATTTGTAGAGTTCTTTTGTTAATTATTACAGAAAATGTTACTGTAATAACTCATTTCTGTTTTGAGTAAGCAATTTTGGTATTTGTGTAAATTTGGATTTTGTTGTTAGTGTTGTTTTGAAACACAGAAGCCTTCCCTTTTTTCCTATGAAACTGACCTATAAAATGTATCAAATTAAGAGTTTGGGAACCGATACAGTTTGTATAAACTTCTGTTTTAAATGGGCGAAAGCTACTGTTTATGTTTTGAATAATTTTATCTCAAAAGTGACAATTTATATAAGAATGACCAGGACGATTAAGAAAAATCTTACATTGAATGGTGGTGAAAGGATTTTTCTGGGAGATGTACAATTTGCCCATCTTACTTGGCATGTTCTGGGTAGAACACGTGAATGACATATGGACTTGATAGCTCAAGTATGTTACTGGTATGCAGCAACACAGAGGCCTCTGCAAAATGCAGTTGAACTTCATAGGCATGATAGGCGTAGTGTATTCCTCATTGTAGCTGGAGAACCTTCTTCAGAAAAAGTCTTCAAAATTATATTAACGAAATTGAATACTAATCAGCGTTAGCCAGATACAACTAAAGGAGTGTGAAGAACCTGCAAGATCTTTAAGAGGATTTGCAGATCTTGGTGTAGAAGATCCCTCTTTTCGGTGTGTTCCATCCAGAGGAGCTGGAGCCAGAGAGAAAGTTGAGTACACCATGAGAATTCACAGGAAGAACAGTCTCTGGTCAAGAGCAAATCGAGAAAAGGGAGCAAGGCTTTTTGCATCAGAGCTGCTCTTGGATAATAATTGACCATCATCTATTACCTTAAGACTGCTACTTCTAGACTCAGAAGGCTGGACCAAAAAAATCTGTACTTGTACTTCTGAGGGAGGGAGGGCAGTTTTTGGATCAGTTTATCAAATTCAAAGATCATGGAGGTCTTTCCAGACAAATCTTAAAAATGCAATTCCAGTTATGATCAAAAATGTTTTTTCTTATTTTCTAATTATTTTCAGCCTTTTTTACTGTTAGTACTATAAGCCTTTGAAAACATACCACCACCATACTAACTAGGGAACCAGAGAAATCAGAGTTGACTCTTTAATCTTGGGCAGTGATCCATGATGGACTCTGCAGTAAGGGATCAGAAAGAAAAATGGTCATTCATTTCTTTCTACAGGAATTCTGACAAAACATACATGATATTTTTATTACAACAAAATTGTTTAAATTCACTCATCATAAACATAACATTTTCTTACAGCTTTGAGGGCTTTTGAAATGTAATTACTATCGCCCTATATTACTCTA